GCAGACCCTTGTGGTGGGGTGGCTGTGCGTTGGAGTGGAGTGGAGTGGGAGTGGAGTGGGAGTGGAGTGGGGTGGAGTGGGGTGGAGTGGGGTGGGGTGGGGTGGGAAGGGGTGGCGAGCATGGAGGGGGCCTCGCTTGGAGTGGTATGACGTGGCGTGGTGTTACGTGCCGCGGTCTCGTCGGTCGCCACAACGCTCAACGTTCTCATTCTAGAGTCACCAACATAATCGACCTTAGATAGCAACTGACTCGTCAAAGATTGGAAGTCACGGCCCAGTTGTAACGAGACACATACTGAATTATTAAATTCACGAGCAAGCCCTAGCAATCTCACGTGGTAGGCGAAACGTGTGCCCAAGTATTAGATAAACTCGTACTCTGCTTCATGAAGTCCTCATAGCATTGATGAAAGGACGACCAATATTTTGCTGTCATAATCAAAACCATAATCAATACAATACCATACAATACATACATGGGATTCTAAGCCCACACACCGGTCAGTGACGTAATCATTTGGAATACGTTTCGAGTCACACATTGAGAAACCTTCCAATGATTTTTATGTTAATACTGTTTCTTCGCAATGACATCCAATCACAAATCTCAACTCTCAGCCTCACAGACGAACGGACACACAGGAAGACGGAGAGTCACGGGCGGGTGGGCGCTCCGACGGACGAATATGTGCAGAAAGACGAACGGTCGTGCGACACATGGACAACAGACGAATGAGGACAGACGTTCGGCAAGGACAAACACGGCCAGGAGGGTCAACGGAACACCACACTGACTGCCGGAGAGACATTCTTGAAATAACGCTTTCTCAGAATCTCCCAAACCGTGTCCGAAAATTCTTGTTTTTTCTTTCTGCTCTATAAAACTTTCTCTATACAAGTATTTATCGTTTAATAAGAGATTCCGGGCGCTTCAATGACCAGGGTCATTATTCCCGTAAGTGTGGTGCATGTTTTGCTCGTGAGATGGCAGTGATCTTCACCCGCTGGATGGTGATATGGCGATGACTTACCGTTGACAATGGGGTTTTCCTCCCAACCAGGTATCTCCCATAGAGATACCGTCCCAGTCGGGACAAGCTCTAAGCTCCCGACCCGTCTCCCGGTATATGTGGTAGGGTAGTGAATGTTACTTTAAGGGTGTAAGTAAGGGGTGATATGACAAAGAAAAGAAAGAAAGGGAAAGATCACGTGAGGTCCATAACCCGTTTGTTAACGTGGGCATTCCCCTGGTCTTTTTTGGAGAAAACCCGGGAAACGGCCGATCTGACCAGCCGTCCGCTAGAATTCTTCTCCAGACAGCGACAGAACTGACCTAGCTATCTAACTAGTGTCGAAAATCCTGTCATCGCCAGAACTCGAACCTAGGACCTACCGGTCAGAGGCACTGCAGTATCATCAGAACCACCTCTCCCAGTCACGAGTATATGAGAAAAAGTAAAAGCAGTATGTATATTTTCATATTTTACCTTCATGTCATTTTAGAAATGAATATCATGAAACGATGTACAGATATTTTAGCCGAACGTACCAGTTGTCCATTTATTTTCTACAGTTCTCGCATTGCTTAGTTTTAGTGTAAGAAAGAAATACGAACGGCAGGAACATTCCAAATACATTGCACAGTCACTGCGTAACTATGATTTTCACTGGAGGAAGATACTATTGGTGTATCGTTCAGCACTAAGTTTCATATAAAAATATACTTTTATACAGATTTAATAATTTTAATGCTTGTTTTACTTCTGTGTTTATGTGTATTTGAGATTGTCTCTGCAAGTAAGCTACACTTCAGAATAGAGCTCTGTAAGATAGCCTACTGGATATATTTTCTATGTACTCGATACAAAAAGTAACGTTGTGATGTTGTTTTGGGAAGAATGGATTTTGAAAGCCTGTAAAATATTTTTATTAAATACATTATTTTTTCAATTTTGTCTAACAACGTGCAGTATTTTTGAAATGATTTCTATAGAAAACTTAAGGGATGGTGTAATAATAATGTGCACCTTACCCTATTTAAAATTAAAATAAAAAAATGAAAACACCGACAAAGACCAACACATAGATGTGATAAAAAATCATTATTCTCGTTCCTTGCTGTTCCATGGACTCTCCGCTACTCCCCAATTAAATTCCTTTTCTCCCGGGCGTACAAATTCCTTCTGCACTGCAGTAACCTACTCTGAAATCGTTATAACTTTCTTGTGTAACCGCTCACAGACCTGGAGCTGTAAGCAATTCTAGAAGCGACATATCCATGTTATTTTATTAAAGTCCTTACTAAAAGAAAACAATCCAAAACTGCAAATTGGTTCACGTCGGTTGGACGTCGAGACTTGCATTGCATCAGTACTGCACGAGACAGTGCGCTTATCTCGTCATCATCTCGTTCCGTAAATCTGGCCCATACTCTCACAAACACAATCTGCCCATTTTCTTCAAAGACTGTTGGAGAGAGTTCGGAGAAGAGGGACAACAAGAAGCCCAGACATAAAATTGGATTTGACGCGGTCTCGTCGCGTAGCCTTCAAAAGGCGGGGGTAACAGCTTTTAAGAAGCCGTCGTTGGGGCCACCGCCAATACGTATTATGAAATGAGAGGAAACAAGATGTCTGAAGTCGTTCTACCCAATGACAAGAAATGGCCCGTCTAACAGGGTATGGCAGTCACTAACTTGCCACTTGCTCACGGACGGGAAAAAAAGTCTTAACAGCAGTTCCAACTGGTAATATTTTAAATATTTTAAAAAATCTCACTATGCCTCTTGCTCTTAACACTCAGACGTGTTTATACTATAAAAAGAATCATTACTCCTATAATTACAATCGATTCAATTCATAATATGCTAAGGAAATATGTAAATAACCATTCGGAGATGCAATAACACTTCAATAACCCCCAAAAGGATCAGGTAGATTTAAGACGAAAAATATGAACATTTGTACATTACGCAGCACGCACATGATATCCGCAATAAACATCACGCTGCAAACCATGATAGCATCTAACATAATGTGAAAAATAAGTTTTAGATCTTTAAAATGCGGTTTTTGTCCTTACAGCTTGTCATTTGTTTCTTGGACTGCAATCACCAAAATGGGACCCAATTGTACCTTCTGTTGCAAACTGAGGGTTTAACTTTCCTGAGTACTCATTCTGAAGCACAGATCTTTAGATCACGAAATCTAAATAAAATTAAACTGACTCTGTACAATGATAAGTTTTATTATGCTGTTCTCAAAATTTCTTGCGGTGATAAATACCGAATTTGTCAGGAACAGACAGAAACCATTGATCATCTCCACTCAACTTGTTCAAATGTAGCAAAATGCAAGTGGTACGAACACTCACCAAAACAGGTGACTTCTGTTGGACTGTGTAAGGTATTGAATGAGCAAATAATCCACACTGATCGAATGATACCTGAACATAAATCGAATGTTCGGGATTTGGAGAAAAGATCGCTTTGATTTATGTTTCTGTGTCATGCAAACAGATCATCGGTACCACGGACAATGTGTCTCAATTACGAGGAGACCCGGATTCGAATCCCGGTCGGGGTGAAAATTCGTTCAACAAATTTTTGCAGTATTACGAATGTTCTGATGAGATTGCACGAGTTTTTCGATCTCAGCCAGATGAAGGGCGTAAACACAAGTCGTACCGAGTCATTGGAGCTCAGGATTTGTTCTGCAATGTTTATTTAAGAACTCGTCCAAACCTCGTCCTTCCATAAGAGTGGAAGTGCAAGACAATTGCGCTGCGTTATTGGAAACGGACCATATTTTTTTGCAAAGAATTGTAGTCATTAGAGCAGGTTCTTAGGAAGTCGATTGCAACCGGGAATATATTTTGTATTTAACAAAATCCTTCAATCACGAATGTGGGGAATAATAATAATAATAATAATAATAATAATAATAATTAATAATTTTATTTTTGGAAAGTATTTATTTATAAATTCTTTCCCGAGGTGCAGAAAGCAGTTTTCAGTGTACAATTGCAGTTTTCAGTGTAAAATGTACAATTTGTATTATTGCGCTACCAGACAAACACTCTCGTGCAAAGCACCATTCAGGGCCCGCAAGAAATTCGCAACACACTGATGCGTCGAAGAATGTCCCCCATGCCGTAATCTACAAACTTAGATCTATTCAAACCGTCTAATACATTTTTGGGTGACCTTCTAGGCAGCCCCAATACATATTATTAGTCTTAGATTTACATGATCACGAATTCTATGCCAAATGAAACGACAATTTGAAACTGTGGTTTAATTTCAGGGGACAATGTGTTGTCATGTTCCGATGAAAACTGATATTGACAACAATACTTCCTAGCACCCCTCAAGTAATTACCCACAGAGAAGTAGTCTTTCGTACGTAATAGATTTGTGTACTTTCAATTGTTTACAAACTACAGAGAAAGTTGTAAGAATTTTTCTTCGAGTTTTCATTTGTCTTCGCGAAGTTTTCACTGACTTTATGAAGCATCTTTCGATCGCTTAGGCATTGAAATCATGTCATCCTCGCGGGAAGTTTACAATGACACTTCCAGTTAAATTCTTCTCTTCTAGTGAGTTAGGACGATGGCGCCCAAACCATCCAAAGTAGCTTATCTAAAGAAAAAAAAAAAACTTGTCAGAAAGTCTTATCAAACCCCAAAGTCATTTTCAATCACAATATATCACATTAATAATGAGTCATAATTTTGTACTTATACATTCACAAATTATACCAAAATATGCAAATATTAAGCAATTTACTGAAAACATATTCACAAATCCAAAAGACGATGTAAACAAGATGAAACGATTTAATGCAAAAACCGAAACGCAATTACACAGTAAATACACAACACGACATTCACAAAGTTAGTTTTATTTTTCAGTAAGTGTCCCGGAACGACATTCAGAGAAATTGCCATTCACTGGCTGAAGAGGCGAGCTACCACAAGGTGGGGTGGGCGCGCGCACTCACCGCTTCCGGCCTAGCAGCAAGCTACACAGATAGAGCTGCTGCAGCTGTTCGGCGCTCAGCTCTCCCGACATGGTGACGGCGGGCGCATGGCCGGTCCCCGGGGCGCCAGCGCCAGCGCTACCGCCGCCGCCGCCCGCGCGGCGCGCGCCCGCCCGCCCGGGGAGGGCGGGGCTCGACGTCACCGACGCCGAGGCGGACGCCGACGCCGACGACGCCCTGCGCGGCCCGGCGCGCCTCCGCGCCGCCGCAGAGGTGGCCTCTCCGACCTCGCGGAAGCCGCCGCTGCGGGTGCGCACGGGCGACGAGCAGTAGGCGTACGAGTACTCGTAGAGAGCGGGGCGGCTCCAGCCGCCTCCGCCGCCCGCACCGCCGCCGCCGTCGACCGCCGCCGGGTCGAGCACCACCAGCGGGCGCCACACGCGCAGCGCCTGGGCCTCCACCGACGCACACACTTCCGAGCACTGGCACAGCGTGAGCGTCGCCACCGTCGGAGCTCCGCTCCGCGGCCGCCGCCTCAGGCGCGCCCTCCCCTCCGAGTCCGAGTCGCGCACTGCCACGCCGCTGTCCTCGGCGTCATCGCCGCTCGCAAGACCGCCGCTGCTGCCGCCGCTGCCGCCGCCGGCCGCCACCGCCGCCTTCCGAGCGTCGCGCAGCCTCCGCTTGCGATCTTCCACAGTCCTCCCGGGGGCGCGCGGGCGCTGGGCGCACGGCGCGCTGCTGCTGGGTTACGCGCGCTGTGGGCGGGACGAGCGTTACGAGAGGCGCCGCGCCAGGCAAGAACAGAAGAGCCGCTGTCGCCGTCGCCGCTGGCGCAGGCGCTGCGCCACCGCAGTGTGACCGACTGGGAATGCCTGACTCGAGCAGCGATATAACGCAATGATACGACAAATCGCGAGGCCGAAGGCGTAATATCATGTCAGTATAACAACAAAAACGAATACTACTATAATCCCTAAAAGACGGGCATTGCCAAATTCAAATTCCACAATGAACTTACCCATGCACAAGAAGTACAAGAACTTCATGTTCAGCAATGTCGAAAAGCAACAGATTTTCCAGAGATTCAAACTTCGATGGAAACTTTTAAATACTAACACAAAAACAAATATACATTCTTACTTTACGTATTGCAAAATAAAATAATAAATACTGCATCAACATGAGTCATTATGTTTACGAAGTCTCAAGGATGTGTTCCTTTTACCATCCCCTCTAGAAACGGTAATGACTTCACTTTAAATTGAAGTTCAACAAATGGAATAAAGGTAATATCCGATATTTCTAGTAACTATAAAAGTAATTTGAACACTGTCATAACTTGACAATCGTTGAAAATACCTTCAATGAACTTTTCAACTATTAAAACCCAATAAAGCAGTACATCATCTTTCATGAAATGACAGTAAACTAAAATTTCTTGGAGTAAGTGATAACAATTCGCCGCCAAATGAAATTTCTATTTAACTCACTCCTATTATAAGAGTCTCAGTGGCTAACAGCATTGCGGTGACTTGTGCAAAGCGTCTTACATGCTTCCCAATTGCTATAATCCACGGAGCTGGGGTAAGCTCTCTCCAGCATGACAAGAGAAAATCGGCACACGTCCAAAAATACACTCGCTCGAATCTCCCTCAAAGCACACAGAGTTGAAGGCAGACGAGCCGCGCGCGCCGCGAAGCGCGAAGTCCACAAACGCGCCGCCCCGCGAGCCGCGGCGCGCTCACAATTCAGCCATAATATTTATGTCTGCCGGGCCGGTATTTCCGTGGCGCGGCGGCCGAGGCCCAGACCGGCCCGCAGCGCGGTACTGCCCGGCGTTTCTCGGCTGTCTCGCCTTCGCTTTGCCCTCCGCGGCACTTCCTCGGGCGCCTTTGAGCTGCTCCATTTCTACGAATGACGAGCAGATCCTTTTGATCTCCTAGAATAGACTGCAGCTCGGTCGACGGCAAGAAAGTGAGTCCGTCTATAAACTCCGCTCGCACATCCCGAAAGAACACCTCCATTCATGCACTTGCCCAGCACACTGAACAAGGTTCCTTCGAACTTGTACAATAAAGATGAACCTTTCTAGATGCGGCACGATGAAGGGATTGTACTGAAGGATACGGCGTTCTACGGATGGTTTTTGGCAGGTACTTGAAAAAACGTAATCTGATTCCTTTTTTCCCAGTAAGAAAAGCAACCGCTTTCCGTTCAGTTCTGTATTTGCACCCAGTCAACAGAAACTCTTCTCTTTTCGAATTATCAGAATCGGAAGAAGTTTTTATCACCAACTTGAGTTTTGGAACGAGATCTTGAGAATCTCAATGAGATCTGTGGAACGATATCATGAGAATTGAGATCACTTTTAGGTGTACATTATTTTGAAACGGTATATCGATTGATCTGTTATGGTGCAGTCTTGCAAATCATATTGACTCGTTCTGCTGCACACGGTTTTTTGCTGCAGCAGACGTGCTGATATGGCCGTAGGCAACTTAAGACTTTACACTTGTTCTTAGAATATCCTTTTGTTTATAGAGAAATCGCCATAAAGCATTAGCCAATGCCTCCTAAATGCTGCACTGATAAGAAAATATCTCTTGTCAATTTGCTGAGAAACGTTCCAGTAATGAGCTGCAATGTTTCATATGTTAATTCAAATCCAGTTATCTATGTTTCAGGGAAAATAAAACTGAATTGCTTCCTATGTCCAACTACAAATCGTCAAGTTAAAAATGAATACTACCTTTCCCTCATCATATGAATGGGGTCGGAAATCGACAGCTCTATATTTATACCGTCCAGATCCTTTGTCTATCGTCTCTGCTCCCCTCTGAGGCTCAAAATGCAGCAGTACCCTTTGGGAGGCCTACCCTACATTCCCCATCAATGGAACAGTAATCTACGTTTGTGGTACTCATATGAACTCCGCAATAAAAAAATCATCAAAAAATATTTTTAATGCAAACAAGGGCAATGACTTTATTACTACACTTCAAACCCTACCGCCAAACCTATCAACTTCAAATTCTCTCAATAATGGTAAAGAGTGATCTCCGGTTATATTTTTATCTCCTTATCAAACATAACAGTTAAGTTTAAGTCGATCATCATTTTAATATAATTTGGTTAGTATTAGAAGCAAACATTTCCAATGAATGAATGAATGAATGAATGAATTCGCTTAAATTAGAGGCATGCAAATATTAGGCCACACAAACATTTATGTAATCCTTTCTCGCACTGAGGCAAGAGAGCTGCATGAAGAACAAAGACCCGAAGATGAACGCTGTCCCAAAGCGAGGGAAAGACAGCAAGAGAAGCCAGCCTGCTCGGAGCCCGGCGGGGCGGGGGTCGAGGAGTAGCCGCTGAGAGGCGCGCGGCAGACAAAGGCAAAGCGCGGGGCAAAAGGCGTGCAAATGAGAGGAGCTTACGCGCGACGAGGAGCCCTCCGCTGGGCGCGCCCCTCCTCCAACCGCCAGCGCCAGCGGCAGCCGGGCACACTGCCCCTGGGGGGTTCTTTTCATACTTTTCATACATTTTACTTTTACTAGTTCTATAACTACCTCACAATGTCATATTCGACTAGTAGCAGAACTACTCCGCCTAACCGGGGTATTTTTCACAATCGTCTATTCGACAGGTAAAGGAAGGGATTATATCTAGTGGTATCCCCGCCCTGACCTGTCCTGCATTGTGCCGCACTGCCCGAACCCGCCCAGATACGGCCCACACACCCAGTTTCCCTTGCACCTCTCCATTCTGCCTCGTCCGGCTACGCCCCAACTCGCCCTGCCCTATTCGCTACGATCACCCTTGCTACCACCAACGATGATACGCGATGCTGTAAAAATCTATTACCGTATTCTCCTGGCAAACTTTCAGTAATAATTTTTATCTTTATTACTCAAATTCTAATTGTGCTATCCAAATGAATTGCGACGACGCTTGTAGAAAACTATGAGCTTTCAGAAATGCTTCTTATACTTCCTTTAGTTGATTTTCTTTCATTTTTGAGATATTTGCGAAAAAAATTGAAAGTGACAAATTTTGATTAAAAGATATGGAGCTTAGGAAAATTTTTACGAAATGTCAAGTGGAGAGTAACTTATTTTAATGTCATGTACACAATTTAATCAAGATCAGAATATTTAAAAAACGAGATGCATGTTTTTGAAAAAAAAATAATGATTTTGAAAAGAGGCAGCCCACGATATGCTCGAGAAAATATTATACCTTTCAGTGAATGCCCATTATAACCAATTTAGCCGTACCGAAGAGTATCCAGCACAAACAAGCAGTCACATATCGTGCAGCAGACAACTGAACTGGTTTTTGTGTCATCTTAATAAGCATACAAGATTATAAAAAGGCAGTTATTTTGAAATCACAGACAGATACTCCAATTTTATATACACAGGGATTGAACAAAATATGAACACCTCACATATACAATATATTTTTTAATGTGCTGGGCAACCATTATCTTTTCGAACAGATGCAATTCATCGCGGAAAAGATTTGTAATGTCTGAATAGCTTCCAACGGAATATTCTCCCATTATTGTACAAAAACATCCGCCAATTGCTTCAACGATGTCGGAGCTGGGAATCTGCACCTCACTCTGCTCTTAAATGCCCTATTTCAATTATGTTCAATTATGTTGAGATCTGGTGATTGAGCAGGCCAAGGAAGATGTTCGATAATATTCTGATGCTCCGCAAACCACGCCAAAACCTTTTTTGGGTGTATGGGCGCATTATCTTGGAACACGGCAGTGTTAGGAAACAATAGGCTAGTCATTGTAAGCATTTCGTTGTTGAAGATGATGAGATGCGCACTAATCCGGCTAATGAGGGTAATGTTAGGATCAGCTGAATACCAGGATATTGCCGCGCAAATCGTTAACAGAACGTTCCCTATGCTTGTCTGTAGAAAGCAGTACCGGATCGTAGGCTTGTTTTGGAGTTCTGCAAATTCGTAGGAAAATATAAACGATGATTCATCTGACCATATCACAATCTTTCAGTCATCAAGTGCCCAGGTTTTATGATCATGGCACCACTTCTTTCGCTGCTTTGCGTTGGCGTCCGATAAGAACGGTTTCGCAATTGCTGTCCTTCCATGGATGTTAGCTTTGTAAAGTACTGTACTGTTTTTGTGGAAACAGTACTTAAGTGAGTTGAATTCTTCAGTCACTTTTGCCGCGGTATTTTACATCGCTTGGCCGCAATCCTTTTTAATGTTCGCCGATCTCTGTCAGTTAACTTCAGCTTAAGTGCCACTATTGCTCTTCACCGCACTGCAGCACAGTCGGTTCACATTTAATTATAAAACGTAAAGGACTTCAAACTTTCTCATCTATGCAACCTGTTGGTAGGGTTAATAACTTGTAATTTGCACTGTACTACGGTTCTTATATACATTGTAATCTACAAAGGCATACATTTCACTTTCCCTCCGAAAAAGTGTGTCCTTGGGATTTAATCTGAAAAATGTTTACTTCCGAGAGCTTGCTCTCGCATCCATTCCCAGTCAGTAAAGGTCTTCGTCGGAGTTGCTGTCGTTCCCCAACATTGTTTAAAATATATCTGCATCAAATTTTACAACAGTGGGAGAAACAATGCAGAGTAATGGGTATGACGATCGGAGAGGATAAATTGTTTACGTTATATTTTGCCGATGACCAGGTAGTAATTGTAGAAGAAACTCAATGAACACTTTTTAAAAGCAGGACTTAATATTAATATGGACAAATCTGAATACCTAGCAGTTAGTAAAAATGAAATAGATCTTCTTGTGGAAAATGGAGAAAAAATGAAATGGGTAAACAAATATAAATACCTTGGTGTACTTTTTAACAATAAGAGAAATAGCCATGGCGAAATTGAGAGACGAATAAGCTTGGGGAGAAACGTGACACGAAGCATAAACTATGTCTTATGGAACAAAACCATCACTAACACTACGAAAGGACGTCTTTACTCCTCACAAGTTAAGAGTGTTACACCATACAGTTCAGAAGAGTTGGAGATTCATAAAGGCACAAAAGGGAAGCTGCTGGCCCTTGAAATGTACTTCTGGTGTAGAAGTTGCTGTTATAGCAGACGTGACAGAATCAGGAACGACGACATAAGAAAGAAAATGGATGTAAAGAAATCTATCCTTGACGAAATAGAGAGAAAAAACGGTATGGTACCGTCATGTTATGCGAATGACATACGAAAGATGGCCAAAACGAGTCCCGATGGGTGCCGACAGGAAGACAGAAGAGACGAAGACCCAGGTTTGCACGGCAGCAGGGAGTGCAAGAGGTTATGACGGCAAAGAAATGCATGATCTATGGTCAAATAGAGAGGCAAGGAGACTGAGCGGAGAAACGGCGACAGCTGTAGAACAATTCCGTACTATATGTTTACTTTTCGAAGTGAATCAAACCGGCAAGTCTCAGCGCACGAACCGGTACAATATATGGACTACAACCAATACTGATATCCAGTTTAACTCGTTTGTTTAAATATGTGAACGCAAACAATATTAATGACAGCAAGAATAGAATATATATTACATGGAAGTCACCTTCAGAGTAACCTGGAGAGGGTGAACTAACAGAACGGAAAAATATTTATAAAGCTTGCCAACATATTTATATTTTCTGGACTACTTCCTTTAAAGTAAAAAATCCTTAAAACGAAGGTTTAATTAATGTGTATCTTAATAAATAAACGGTACATAATACGATATCTTTACTTTGTTAAGGGGCAAGTTTGTTTGAAACAATCACTTTTTATGAGATCCTATCGCTCAGCGTATCATTAGCCTTCGCTAATTGTTATTCAGAACACTTCGGAGACGCGATGAGTCTTCCAACAACGAGGTGCTCGTCGAACGACTGTCTCGCGAGGCGCCCGGAGGAAAGAGGCTCCCTCATTACGCCAAGCAGCTTTTTCTCTCCGCAAAGGCGCACCGCCTCTCTTTCAAACGACGCTCTCCACGCCGCCCTACCTCCGCGCGGTGAAGCCTCGGCAACGCGGGTGGGGGTGCACGCATAGTTTCGTCGTAGAACGCAAGCAAACGGGCTTCGCAGCAAGTCCCTTAACAAGATGCGCGAACAAAGGGGTTATTAATGAAGGTCTGCGATAACTTCCCGCCAAACAAACACCACATTGTACGCGTTAGCCGCCCACAAAGAGGCGCTACTGTGGCAAGCACCCACCCGCCCGCCCCGGAAGCCCTCGCATAGGTGCAGCGCATCGCGGGTCCGCTAATTGGGCAGCGAGCAAAAAAATCATGCGTCAAGCGGAACGCTGTCCGCTCCAACCTAATTCAATTTCGTTTCGTCCGCATCGATACACACACACACGCGCGCGCGCGCACAAAAACGAGCTTATTATGGCGAGTCCCCTGAGGATGGGATTGGAATCGAATAAATCAAAACTAGCGCAATACTCCCGATTTTGTGATTTTTTTAAAGCTCCCATTCACACAATCGGCTTGCAATTGTTCGCGTTGAATAAACGTAAGAGATCCATGTTCAAGAAAACTCACAGTACGAATATATTTGAAATATGTTGATAAAAACATGCAACATATGCAATATGTAATTTCACCTTTGCAAGTAATAGATATTCTATTCCCACTTCCCATAAAACAATCGTGTGTATCTTTTTCTCATTTCAGCCAGAAGAAATGTTGCATCTCGTAATTCCACTCTCACATTAAACAATACGAAGAATGAATACTACAGAGTTCAACATGACATTAAGTTCATGAAGACCGTTTGGTAAATACTTCATTTACAATTGCACTACGATAGATAATATAAAAAATTTGAATACATTTCTTTTTGCGGACCAATTCTAGGAACACAATCGTTAGCTGCATAAACAACTCATTAATTACTTTTTCACCAGAAACACAC